TAGTGATACTGCCTCGGAAACCCAAGGAGGGGTCGCTATGAGTCAGGGCTGACTCGACGGCACATAACAACAACAACAACGTGAATAACAATATGTATGTTATACCGTAACTCAACAATACATTTTATTTTTTTGAAATACATTTTAGGTGATAAAACTAATATGTGATCATTGTAAAAATTGTTCACACAACAGAAAAGCAACTGAAGTAAACTGATTTCTGTCCTCTTCCAATAAATAACACAGTTTTGGTAGGTATTCTTCCAGACCTTCCTCTATACATATATACATAAATGATATAATATTGCTCAGATCAAAAGGGGGAAAATGCAGAACAAACTTTAAAATTCTCATGGACTCCAGACTTTCTGGAGCCAAAGGGGCTGGATGAACTCCTGAAGCTACTGCCCTGAGCTAATCTTTAAAAGTTAAACCAAAAATATCTCCTGAAGTCTTCTTAAAACTAAACAGGAGTTTAGGTTAACTAGTAAATACATGTAGGAGCTCTGGTAGTGTAGTGCCTACAGCACTTGACTGCTAACCAGAAGGCTGGCAGTTCAAGCCCACTAGTCACTCCTTGGAAGAAAGATTGGGCAATCTACTTCCATAGTGATACTGCCTCAGAAACCCAAGGAGGGGTCACCATAAGTCGGGTCAGACTCCATGGCACATAACAACAACAACAAGTAATACATGTCTACCTTGAGCATTATGCTCTTTTAGAAACTATTTATATGGGAACAAAGTGACAATAGCAAGTTGACAAATTAGATAGGAATCTTAGGGAACAGGAATTTATGTTAATGGAAGAGGAACAACTCAGGTAAGGTGAAAATAATTGCACGATTTGAAGAATGTAATCAACGTCACTGGATTGTACATATAGAAACGGTTGAATTGATGTTTGCTGAGTATATTCTCAACAACAATAATAAATTATTTACAAATAATATAATATCGAACCATATAGGCATTATATTATCAACATGGCTTCAAACTTTTAAACTTAATAGATTGTAGACATACTACCGTAACTATAAATGCTGACACTTAGCTCACTAACTACTCACTTTACACATTTTAGAATTTTAAAATAACACAGGACTTAAAGAATATTTCAGAGTGATATTAAAGTTCTTTTAGCTTGATAATATCTTAGGTAGTAATTGATTCTAAGTAATCCAGTGACTACCTGGAACCTTTTAAATATGCCATCATAATAAATTCATCCTGGGAAAATTTTAAATTTTTTTTTAATACACCACACTATAAAAAAAAAATGAGTGCAATGCTACTGTAAATGAATTGCCTTGGTAACAAATATTAATAGACAATTTTGCCTCCCCCCCCCCGCAATTTCAGACAATGTCTACACTTTAATCCTTCCATGCCTTTTTATTTATACTAGACCTCTTTGTTGGGTGGATTGGAGGTAGGAAGGAGACATGCTCTTGCATGCTGCATACTAAACAATATCCATTTTATTCTCTACAGGGTCAGTTCACACCCTTCTCCCCAGTTTCCATCCCATCTTTTCATTCCAGTCTTTCTTCTTTCCCATTCCTGATTGGCTTAGTCTCTGTTCTAGAGAATCCAATTCATTCCAATGTCTCTCCAACTAGCAACCAGTCCTATTCCTTCTCAGCTAAAGAAATAGGAGGAAAGATGTATTAGCAGATGTACGCTGGAAGAAACATATGATAAATCATTAAATAATGAGGTTGAATTAGACAACAGTGACAGGTCCTATTGCAATTACTCAGATGTTTCTACAGAGGACCTCTAACAACCTCTCTATCTCTTTCCCTTGATTCAAAAATCATCCAATTAGGTCTGTGTAATAATAAAAGCCAACACAACTTGCACACTTATTACTATTACTCTGCTTCAGGTCCTGCATTAAATCACCAAGCTCTTTTATCTTTATTACAACCATGTGAGGTAGGATATGTTTTCTGTGAAGTAGGATATTACAGATTGAGGAGCCCTGGTGGCTCAGTGGGTAAAGTGCTCAGCTGCTCACTGAAAGATCTGTGGTTTGAACCCACCAGTTGCTCTGAGGGAGAAAGATGTGACAATCTGCTTCCGTAAAGATTTACAGTCTTGGAAACCCTGGGGAACAGTTCTACTCTGTCTTATTCGATTGCTGTGAGTTGGACTTGACTTGATGGAATGGGTTTGGTATATTACAAATTAAGATACAAGATTTATAGAGCTGAATATTGTTGCCAAGGGTCTCATAATCAGTGGCTGTCAAAATCAGGTCTAAAATCCAAGTCTAATTATGGAGTTTTAATCACTCCTCTGGATTCTAGCAAGATGGGCAGTAAGGTTGACCCTGCCCTAGAGTAGCACATGCAATCCAACAGAAATGCACTGGCCTGGGAGTCAGAACACTTGATCACTTCGGTCCTGGTCTCAGCTTTGATACTAACGAGTTGTGTGACTTAGGATAGGCCCTTAAGTATTTGACCTGTTGGATCTAACATTTCTTCATATTTAATGCTAAAAGATTGATTGATAATTCTTTATGATTTAGTTATGCATTCCTGTAATTTGTCACAAAATATTTATGGACAAGACAGATCACATAAAAAAGTGAATATACATACATACATACGATGTTTCCTAATTCTGAAATTTATCATTTATAACCTTGGAAACCCTAGGATGAATCTTCAGAGAGAATTCTGAGAGCACATTTACTTTGAAGAACTGACTGAATCCTTTAACTACTGATTTTATCTTCAAAGTCATTATTATTTTTATTATTGAATAATACTACACTGACTGTTAGAAGGGATACATCAGAAAACTTTCTTTACCACAAACATTCACATACAAACTCACACAAAGCAACACACAAACATGAAGAACAAATATATGATGAGAGCAAATTCAAATTAATGTGTACAATGTACCTAAATACTCCAAGGCCAGACTCCAAGCTTCATAAAATTAGGGCCCAGGTTTAATTTGTTCTTATTTCTAGCAACTCACACAGGACCCATCTGGCAAACAGTCACACATGATCAATGACTTGTAGGGTAGAGTAAGGACATTAGCAGAGAATCTTATGGATCATCAAGGCAATATATAAAGCAATAAACCTCTGGTGCAGTCAGGAGGGAGAACGAGGTGATAGGTAGGGTAAGTGAGACTATAAAATATTGAAACATTATGAGTAATTATGAATGTGTTTCCCTTCTGGAATCATTCTTATTTTAAACATAAACTTTTGTTGTGGTTATGTGCGGTCGAGTCAGACTCGACACATGGCGACCCCTTCTTGGGTTTCTGAGGCAGTATCACTATGAAAGTAGATTGCCCAACCTTCCCTCTGAGGAGTGGCTGGTGGGTTTGAACCGCCAGCCTTCTGGTTAGCAGTCAAGTGCCTTAGGCACTATGCTACCAGAGCTCCTGAAAATAACATAGTCCTCAAAAAGTTCTAGTGATACATGAGATAATGTCTAGCACAGTGAACTAATTCTTGCACTAAAACCAACACTAAACCAAGTTGCTGTTGAGTCAATTCTGACTCGGGGTGACCTCACATGTATCAGAGTAGAACTGTACTCCATAGGGTTTCAATGGCTGTTTTTTGTGGAAGTAGATTCCCACACCTTTTTTTCTGAGGCATCTCTGGGTGCACTTTCAGTTAGCAGCTAATACTGACCTCCCTGCCTACAATCCCTAGCAGTTTATGTTTGCATTTCAAGAAGGTTTTGTCAAAGTGCACTTCGACCAACTTTTTCTGGCTCATTTATGATTTAAAGTATCTATAACTTTAGTATTTAGCTTCTATGCAAAAGATGAGTAAGAACTGTACCTTGGAAGAGTTGAGTTCTGCATACTGTTTTTGATATGCTCAGGGAAGGGAGCTAATAAGCAGCACAGTGAGCTATGATTATTTCTTAATTCGTTCAGCATATGTACTTCTTAATTTAATTCAGGCCAAGGGGTAGCCTCCTCCTCAAGTAAGGTCTCATTCTCAGCATTGCTAAAACACTTTCAAGTGATGCAAAGGCTTATGATTCTTGAATTCATTTTATCAATTAAAAAGTTCTCCCTGCTAAGTACCTAATATTCCTGGGAGGAATGGAAACATCCCAAATAGTCTTCCTATAGCAAATTGAGCATTTTGAGTGGTGTATTTCCAGTGTGCTTTACATGAATTAATAATTTAAAATTTTGACTTTTAGGGAAGAAAACACTGTGTATTAAGACACCAAGAATCATTAGACTAATCTCATGAAACAATAATGTCAGCTTTAACAAATTAGGCCCCAGGCTTCCCATGGATATTAGGACGCCTGAGAGCTCACTGCTCTCTCAGTCTCATGGTTTACAATTTCTTGCAGGATTGAATGAAATTCAGTGGGTATGTGATTCATTCACCGGCTCCTCATAACTGTAGATTTGCACATTGTGTCCACTGGCCCCGCATTGTCTTTTCTACTCAGCTAACTCCTACTTAACCTTCAAAACTCTTCTCAGTTGGTATTGTTGAGGGGGGGGAGTTTTTTACTTTATATACAAAATTAAGTTTTGATTTTTTTTTTTTCCACTGAGAATGCATTACTTAGAAAATTAGAACAAAAATAAGGAAATAGAAAAAGGAGAGAAATATAAAATCTCCCCCCCACTCCCAATTCTCTGCCTAGTTGTCTTCTCTGGGAAGCTTTTCAGCTCAGTTTCCAAACCTCCATCCCCCATTTTACTTTCCCAGTGCTGCTGTAACAAAAACACTACAGGAGTGTGGAGTAAAGACACAGATTTCTTGTCTTGGGTTTGGTAGCTGGGAGTCTGGATTCAGGGCTTCAGCAGGGCTAGACTCTGTCTGTTCTAGGAAAAGCCCATTCCTTGTCTATGTTTGATTCTGGCATCCTAGGAGTCTCTTGGCATTCCTTGGCTTATAGAGGTATCCTCAAGTGGTGTGTTCCCTTTGTCCATGTCTCTCCATATCTTTTTTCCCTACTTATAAGATATCACTCAGAAGGGATTAAAACTCACCCTGCTCTAATTTGACTTAATTAGCATAACAAAAGAAAAAACACATTTCCAAACAGGGCCAAATTCCTAGACACAGGGGTTAGGACTTCAACATATCAACACAGTTCCACCATAAAACTCCCAATCCATATTACTCTTGCCCACCTCCTCCTTTCTATGAGCTCCTGATCAGTTACTTTTAGTCTTAGTCTTATTCTATACTTGCAATACTTATGTGTTCATTATCCATTTTTCTCACTAGATTATGAGCTCTGAAAAAGCAGGACCTTTAAAAAATTTTCCAGTTCTTGAACATTTCTTGTAGGACCTGTACATGGTGTTACTGTTTTTGTTAGTTAGTTGCCCTGTAACTCTGACTCATGGTGATTCCATGTGTGCAGTAGAACTGCTTCATGTCATCTTCAAGGCAGTGGCCTTTCAAAAGGAGATAACCAAGCTTATCTTCCAAGGCATCTCTGGTTGTGTTCAAACTATCAGCCTTTCAGCTAGTAATTGAGTGCTTAACTGTTTTTGTCACTTAGACACATGGCGGGTTCTCAGTATACGCTTGTGACTAAACAAATGAAAATAAAAGGAACATGGCCCTGGATATTGGCAATTCCCCTTAAGGGAAAAGAAAATGGCAGTGTCATCAGAAGTGCCGTTACGCTCACTTCCTGGCTCCTCTTCTGACTATTGGTTACATTGCAGCCACCCAAGGCGACCTCAACTCGGGCTTCTTGCAGTTGTGTCTGTCTGTTGCCCCTATTTGGCTGTGCTTCGTAAAATGAGTGTGCCTGTCTGCGTTTCCATTCTTTACCTGAGTGCAGTACTGCTTTTCAAGTCTCTGGCTCTCCTTTTGTTTCTGACAGGTCAGCGACACCACAGACACAATTGTGCTGTTGTAGTTCTCTAGGGAAGATGTCCAGGACATCAAGGCAGTGGTTGAGCTTAGAATATGGACAGTCACGTGCTGGGGCTTCTCAGTTAATTCTTCAATCCACTCTCCTGCAGGACCTGCAAATTTTAAATCAGAGCACAAGTGAAGTTTGAAACTGGGTTGGTTGAAATAAAAGATTCTAGTTATAAAAATCATGTTGCTTTCCTTTGCCCTTACAGAGAGAGTCAATATAAGACTGGCAGCCAGACCATCTGTCCTATAGATTCTCTACCTAGCTCCAGCCCTCAAATCCACGACCCTGCCACTGACCTTAACAGCAGCAGCAACAACAAAACAGTGCTCCTGAGAGAAAGTGCCCCATTTCATTTATCATGTGCATCTGAGATTATTCTGGTAACTGCTCACCTAAAGAGAATTTACTTCTCTTTTAATAAAGAATGGGTGTGCCAGTGTGGCATTTCATCAGTGTTTATAATGCCTTTCCTATTAGGATCTTTGGGTTCTTGAAACAATTTCTTTGAGATTCAAATTAGCCTCTAGAACAATAATGTAAGAATTTATTAAATTCGGCAACAGCAGGATCAAAGAGGCAGGCTGTCTGTATTAGGGAAGAAATAGGCAACAGGCTGGCTCAGTTATAGAACCTGGGTGATAATTTGAAGGACACCAGGTGGGTTTCTCATTATAAAATATCTCCATAGAAGTGGCACCATTAGCTTTGTTCTCTTAGGTTTCTGAAGTGGTTATTAGCACAGTGCCTGACACTTAGTAAGGACTCAAGAAATGTCAAGGTGATTATTAGCTACCCCAAATTCCCTGTTGAAATGCAGATGTGTAACTTCTTTTTATTCGCTTAAGAATGCATTTCTCACTTTCTAATAGGAAAGCTATATTCCTGGGTTGGAACTTAAGAAAAGAAAAAAAGCAAGTGACTCTGTTGGGGAGAAACATATTCACATATTTTAGTCCTTTAATTTTCATAACAAGCCTATGGGATAGGTACTATTATCAAGCACACTTTTAGATGAGGAAACTTAGGCAGCGATAGGTTAAATGGTGCTGAGATCCAAATACTGGATGTCTGGTTCCAAAATCCATGCTCTTAACCTCTGCTTCAGTCTTGCTGGAATACTCTAAGACAGTGGAAAGAGTTGGTCTGGAGATAAGAGAGTGGGTCTAGGAGTCAGCTTTGTTCATTATTAGTGCTGCAACTTTGGCCTAATCTAACTTCTCTGAATCTCAATCATTGCATCTGTCAAGTGGGCAAATCATCAACTGTTAGAATTGAAAAGAACTTTAGAGATGCAATGCTTTATATTACTGATGTGGAAACTGAGGCCCAGTGACATGAATGACCTGCCCAGTGTTACAGAGCTAATAAGCACCTGGGACTAAATGACGACATCCTGGGTCTCACGGGGAGAACTGAATAGTTAGTTCTCCATCTCAAATGATCTAACACCAAATATCCCCCATACATGAAAGACAACAAAGCACTTATGAATGAATATACTTACTATTTGCCTAAGGTATTTTCTAATCCTTTATGAGGTGGTGACATTTTTGGTTTCTTAAGTAAAAATGTTGCATGGGACTTTTTCAACATATGTAAGCTGCTAAATAAATTGACCTGTCTTCTGCTTTCCTCTTCCCTCCATTTATTTCCTCCCCTCAAAGCTGATATTTTACCTTTGGAGAAGGCAATAGGGTGTAGGGTGGTCATCCTTTTCTGAGTTTAATTATTATCCATTGCCTTTTGGTGTTTCTTTCTGTTAATCAGAGGCACATCTAAATCCCAATAAACAAGGCAACTGATCTTTGGCCTCAAATTTAAAGTAAATATAGTGAGTTTAATTAACTGAAATATTACAGAGAAATGCACTATTTGTGCAGCCTCTGGAGGTTATCTATTACTCTGCTAATGATATCCCTCCTAGAATCAGTAGGAGCTACCCTAAGACTTGATACTGGGCTTTTAGTACCCTCTAGTTTTATCTTCTCCACCTGGGTATAACTGCACTGAATCTGTATCTGTCTTTTGAGTTCTAATAATGTACTGAGAATTGACTTGGAGATAAGAGAGTGAGGTTTACCAGTCAGTTTTGCTCATTATTAGTGGTGCAACTTTGGGTTGATGATCAGTTTAACCCTTTCATGAGCCAATTATTTTCTTCTTTGAATTTTTTTTTACACCATGTGTTTTCATTAATGGAAGGCATGCTGAATAAAAGAGCATTTCTAAATTTTTGTTATGAAATGTGGATTTTGATACATATTGTGTGGCACACGTATGTCCCTCTTGACTCTGGGGTAGGATTATATGGGGGGTATATTTGTTACTCTGAACTCTGGGGGTGATATTATGTAGGCCATATATGTCCATCTGCACTGGGGGCAGGGTTAGATTAGTGGGGCACATAAGTCCCTGGGAACTCTGTACTGCTTGTTGATCCCTTGACAGGCATATACAGTTCAGGGTGCTTGAAAATGCAGTATTTGCATGAACATGGAATCACTATGAGAAAGGCAAATTTCAAATAACATGTAGGAAGCTGGAAATATAAGGCTTATCTCCTAATAAAAGAGCCAAAAGAGACAAAAATTTTGCAAATCATGTCTCCAGGATGCATCACTTCTGCCAATACTCTGTAAAAACAATAATTTGCAGCACATGCTCATTTTTTTTCTGTTTCAAACAGTTATACAAGTCCCCTTCTGATGGCTGCATACATTGTCAGTGGGAAGGCAGCTGTCTAATAAACCCCAGAGGAAGAAAATGTGGGTAGGCACTATATGTCCCACGGGTCATGAAAAGGTTAATAAATGTTCAATTATGACAATAATAAAAAGTACTCAAGATAAATCCCTGGGTAGTTTTCCTACTATCAAACATACATATATTTCCTCTGCTGTCAAAAACCTCCTGCATCCCAGCATCTCCTGACCTTGAAGAATTCTCCCTAAGCTTTGATGAATAATTGACACTTAGGTATCATTAATCTCAAGTGTTTCATTGTTCTAGCTTCTCTGTAAGTGCAAAATAATCTCTTTGATACTTACTGATATAAAAGCTGAGTGACTTTGCTGACTGACTTTTTCGAGTTTCACAAGATCCTGAGGAACTAAAGGTTGTCACAGATAATTTATATTTCCCAGGCTCCTTGAGTTCAGCAATAAATTCATGTGCTTCTTCACCCACTGTCAAATAGTCAGTAAAGTTTTCTAAATCATATATAAAAAAGAGAATATGTATGAATGAATTGACACCTGAAAGGGCCCTGCTATAACCAAAACCAAACCCACTACCATACAGTCTATTTTGACTCACAGTGACCCTATAGGACAGAGTAGAAAAAACTGCCCCATAGAGTTTTCAAGACTGTCAAATCAATTTTTAAAAAATACATATTTTTATATTACTTCTTTCCTTTTGTTAAGTTCAATTATACTTTTAAACAAAGGTACTATAACGCATGGATGGACATGAGTTCAAATTGTTTTTCACAATATTAAATAACCAACTTAAAACATATTGTCCAAATCAATAAAATTAGAGATTAGTATATACTGGCTATATTTGTAAACGTTACCTAATATATTTATGCTCACACAATACAAGCAGAGTATTAGGAGTAGGTAGCACTAGCTGAGCTACTAATCTCAGGACATAAGGAATAACAAATAACCAGTACTGAATATCTTATAACTTCTTTGTGGTAGCATTGCATATCTAGAAGTGCTTTAAAAATATTGAAATATTTTTAGTCAGGAATATTTCTGGGTATATTTTCTGACACTTTTAATATTTTTTCTTCATCTTTTTGCTTCCAGAAACTTTAAAAAATAAGAACGATTTTGTGTTGCTTCAAAGTTCATCTCCTGTTGCTTATTATTTCATTTAAAGTCATTACCATCAATTGATGCCTACTATCTCCTTTAAAAGAATACACTGCGGTCAGATAAAAGTGATGCTGGATTTCCATGGAAATAGGCAGTAAAAGAACATTCTGAGTTACAAAGACCCTATTTTCCATAGAATATATTGAGGAATAGAAGAATGAAAGACAGAATAGGGTAACTTTTTCTATAAGAAATTCCAGGCAAATATTCAGACTTTTGACTCAAATAATTAGAAATGACAAAGGACTTCAATTCCATATAATATTTGGGTTTGGTTGATTGCTCAATTTAGTTTAGAGGAGCCATGGAAATTTTTTTTTTTTTGGTGACACTGGTTACACTTCCCGTAGTGTAACAGCTTTCTTCCCACTTCCTTCCTCCCTGTGGTTACCCTTTTCCCCTGTGGCCCTCTTGTCTATGCATTCCTGCCTCTCCACCTTTCTACCAGTGCAAATGCTGCCCTTCTGATCTCCCATGGTAGATTGTTCTGACGAGTGCATGTTCCTGCTGCAGGTGTTCAGCTTGTAGGCCTGTCCATCATTTGGCTGAGAGTTAAGTCAAATCTGAGGAACTCACAGATTTTTGTATCACGTTTTAAATAAAATAGGGGTAAACAATTTGTCATATAGGAGACTAATGATCCTAAATTAAGGATACCCTGAAAATAAGGCTATCATTTGAACTTCAAATTTTGATATCTTGACAATCTAAACTACTAAACTGGCAAGTATAAAATGAAGTATGTTATTGTAAAAATAAAGCAAATAACCATAAAAACTTACCAAGCCAACAATTCAAATATAATCTATGACCCAGATATGCTACATGCCATGACCCCGCTTTAATAAATAGAACTCTCGCTGCCATCTACTCGAATGCAACTCATAGCAACCCCAACTCGGTTTCCGAGGCGGTAAATCTTTGTTGTTGTTGTTATGTGCCGTCGAGTCGGCCCCCAACTCATAGTGACCCCTCCTTGGCTTTCTGAGGCAGTATCACTACGGAAGTAGGATTGCCCAACCTTCCTTCCGAGGAGTGGCTGTAAATCTTTAGGGAAGTGCATTGCCTCATCTTCCTCCGTGGAGTGCCTGATGGGTTTGAACTACCAACCTTCTAGTTAACAGTCAAATGCCTTAGGCATTGTGCCACCAGACCTCCTTGCTTTAATAAATTAGTGTGCTAAAAATATAAAGACTGAGCTCAGATGCTGGATTAATGAATATAAGATAAAATTAAATAGCCATAGCAAAAGTAGCATATGCTGTGTACTTTCTGTTTATCTAGAGCTCCTCTTAGGGAAAATGTGAGTGGTGCTGGTTCCAGAGACACACACCTCAGGGGGAGTAAGGTTAACTAGATAGGAAGGACACAGTGGAAATCGCCTTTTATTGCGGAAATAGCCATTTTACTAAAAGATGATGTGCTGCATGCGTTACAAATTTGTGTACAGGAAAACAGAAAAGTTCTCCAGGACATTTATTGTTTGTGATGGTAAGAGCTTTACTTCTCTATCTTCCCAATTTTAAGGTGTTTCTCAGTGGCCTGGAGTATGTGAGGTGTTGGGTAATGAAATGTGCAGAGCTTCCAGTACTTGCAATTTATGAACTACCCAAATCTTCTAATTTTGATCCAATTTATATATTTTTATTTTTTAGTATGAGTCTGTATTGGATACTCAATTAAATTCTTCCCTCTCTTTACCATTTTTCTTTAAGTATCAACTGACCACCATCATCAGTCTGTCTTTCTAAACTCACATTTTAAAAACATTTCAGTTCTCTTTCAGCATACCATTTGTTATTGCTTTACCTTCTCTTTCTATGTAAATGTGGAAGCCATCAAAGGCAGTGGGTGGCTTTGGTGGTAACCAGCTCAATATCATTTGAACAGGGGAAAAAGTGAAAGAGGATGGTGTGGATTTCTCAGTCTCACTGAGTGTGTTATTATTTTCGTATTTCATGGGAAGTACGCTGACAAATTCATCTTCACTTTCAGGGGTTGCAGATGCACTGTCCCACCAATATGGCTGAGATGTAGTTTCGAAGTCACTACTGTTAAAATCAGGCCAACCAGAAGAAATGTTGCCGGAGGGTATTTCAGGAATTTCATCAGTAAAATGGAAGAGTTTGTCTTTTCCCATTGAATCTTGTGATCTCATGAATGATTCCTCTGGGAAACTGCCACTCTGTTCTTCCCAATTGTTTTTGTTTAAGTTCACAATACGAACTGAAATATTTCGGGGTGGATAAGGGGCTGTAAGAGAAAGAATTTTCATTTAGAAGTATTTTAAACTCTACTATAGTGAAAATTAATGAGTCAAATGCACACGCAGAATCACAAAATAAAGTTTAATTTTACTTCTAATATATAGTCAAATTTATAAAGAACAACTGTAATTTAAAAAAGACATACTTTTAGCTTTTAGTGGCTGATGTGTATCTATTAACATATCACCATAACACTTCAAATACTTGTGATATTGTGCTTGTCAAGAGTACTTTGACTACTTCTGTAGCACAGTTTTTTGCAAATATTCCTCTGCTTGTAATACTCTTTTTTTATTTTAAATGTCCTTGGATCTTGCTCACACAAAAAAGCAAAGATAGTGTTCTTAAGAGTCCATGTGACATAGTTGCATAGTAGGAAGTAGCCTATATGAGTTGCCTTTAGAGACATTCACATATATGTTGGAAATAATGGCTTCACATCTCATCTCTGTAAAATGAGACATATAAAATATAAATTATGGGAGCATATTCTTCTAGAGATAGAAAATTATGAACATAATGCATTGTCTCTTCTTGAAATATTTTCTTCCTATCCTTCATATACCAGCTCAAATGTTGTCTCTTCCATGGACTTCTAATAAAAATTTGTCTCTCTTCCCTTTGTGCTGTCATATAACTTTACACATATGTTATTTGTTTTTAAAACTATATATTTGATTCTTCAGAAAACTCACCAGTTCTATGCTGTTTCGGTTCATGACTGACACCACTATATTCCACAAGAGTACTTTTGTTAAAAGTTGCCTCAGATACCAGCTGAAAGGTGATATTATTATAACATATTCCTGGTAGCCAGTGATTGAATACTGTTTTTCCCTTAAAAAAATCTGTGAAGAGAAAAATCAATTATATTAAAAATATAGTTTCTAAGAGTCAAACATTTCTAGGAAATTCTAAACTTAGTTACAATTAAATATACATAAGATAATATTTCCTTCAACTTCTGGCATGGTCAGTAATAAAAATTTGGTAGAAATTTAGAGATGAAAGTTTAGATCCGGAAACTCAATTTGAGAGGCCAGAACCCTTGTGGAGACTGGGGATAACTGGACTTTATATTTTATTATAGGAACTTTTAGTACTAGGTGGAGAAGATGGCTGTTGTTTGGTGTCATTGTTGTTGTTGTTGTTGTTGTTATGTGCTGTCGAGTCGGCCCCGACTCATAGCGACCCCTCCTTGGGTTTCCGAGGCAGTATCACTACGGAAGTAGGATTGCCCAACCTTCCTTCCGAGGAGTGGCTGGTGGGTTTGAACCGCCAGCCGTCTGGTTAGCAGGCAAGTATCATTGAGTCCCTTCTAATTCATAGTGACCCTGTGTACAACAAAAAGAAACACTGCCTGGTCCTGCTCCATCCTCACAATCACTGCTATGTTTGAGCCCATTGTTGCAGCCACTGTGTCAATCCATCTCCTTGACGGTCTTTCTCTTTTTTGCTGACCCTTTATTTTACTAAGCATGATGTCCTTCTCTAGGGACTAGTCCCTTCTGATAACAGGTCCAAAGTACATGAGATGAAGTCTTATCATATTGGCTTCTAAGGGACATTCTATGTACTTCTCCCAAGACAGATTTGCTCGTTCTTCTGGTAGTCCATGATATATTCAATATTCTCTGCCAACTCTGTAACTAAATACATCAATTCTTCTATCTTCCTTATTCATTCTTCAGATTTCTCATGCATAGTAGGCAATTGAAAATACTATGGTTTGAGTCAGGAGCTCTGGTAGCGTAGTGCCTAAGGCACTTGACTGCTAATCAGAAGGCTGGTGGTTCAAGTCCACCAGCCATTCCTCAGAAGGAAGGTTGGGCAATCTACTTCTGTAGTGATACTGCCTCGGAAACCCAAAGAGGGGTCACTATGAGTCGGGTCCGACTAGAGGGCAAATAACAACAACAACATGGTTTGAATCAGGTACACCTTAGTCCTTAAAGTGACATCTTTGCTTTTTAACACTTTAAAGAGGTCTTTTGCAGCAGGTTTGTCCAATGAATTGTCATTTGATTTTGTGACTGCTGCTCCCATGAGTAATGAACCCAGAGCTCCTTCATTTTCAGCAAGCAAGGTTGTGTCATCTGCATACTGCAGGTTGTTAATGAGTCTTCCTCCAATCCTGATGTTGTATTCTTCTTCATATAGTCCAGGTTCTTCTCAGGTTATTTGCTCAGCATACAGATGGAATAAGTATATAACCCTGAGGCTTTTCTGATTTTCAACCATGTAGTATCCCATTGTTCTGTTTGAATGACTATCTTTTGGTCTAGGTTCCACATGGCACAATGAAACTCCTATTCTTCACAATGCTATCTGTAATTTATTGTGATCCACACAATCAAATGCCTTTGCATAATAAAAAAAATACAGGAAAATGTCTGATATTCTCTTCTTTCAGCCAAGATCTACCTGATATCAACAGTGATATTCCTCTTTCCACATCATCTTCTCAATCCAGCTTGAATTTCTGGCATTCCCTGTAACTGCTGCAAACATTTTTGAATAATCTTCAGCAAAAATTTACTAGTGTGTGATATTAATGATACTTGATAATTTTTACATTCCATTGGATCACCTTTCTTGGGAATGAGCAAAAATATTGATCTCTTCCAGTGGGTGGGCCAGGTGGCAGTTTTCCAAATGTCTTGGCATAGATGAGTGAGCATTCCCAATGTTGCAACTATGTGTTGAAACATTTCAGTTGGTATTCTTTCACTTCCTGGAGCCTTATTTTTCATCAGTGCCTTCAGTGCAGCTTAGACTTCTTCCTTCAGTACAAATGGTTCTTGATCATATGTTACCTCCTGAAATGATTGAATGTTGACCAATTCTTTTTGCACAGTGACTTCTGTGTATTCCTTCTATATTCTCTTGATTTTTCCTGAGGTGTTCAACACTTTGCCCATAGAATCCTGCAATATTGCAACTTGAGGCTTGAATTTTTTTCTTCAGTTCTTTCAGTTGAGAAATGCCAAATGTGTTCTTTCCTTTTAATTTTCTAACTCAAAGTCTTTGCACATTTTGTTATAATATATTAAAAGTAAAATATTTTATTCTCCAAGCACTCTTTGAAATCTTCTGTTCAGCTCTTTTACTTCATCATTTCTTCCATTCACTTAAGTTACTCTCCATGTAAAAGCAAATTTCAGAGTCTCTTCTGACATCCACTTTGGTCTTTTCTTTCTGTCCTTTTTAATGACTTTTTGCTTTCTTTATATATAATATCCTGATGTCATCCCACAACTCATTTGGTCTTTGGTCGTTAGTGTTCAAAGTGTCATATATTGATTCTTTATTATTTTTTTAAATATCAGATCTTGAGATGGTCTCTAAATTCAGGCTGGATACATTCAGGATCCTAGTTTGGCTCTCGAGGACTTGTTTCAATTTTCTTCAGCTTCAACTTGAACTTTCATATTGATGAACTGGCCTTGTTCTGACTAACTCCATTGTCTCTTTCCACAGATGTAGTTGATTTGTTTCTTATGTATTCCATCCAACAAGATCTACCTGTGTAGTTACCATTTTTGTAGCTAAAAAGAAAGATATTTGCAATAAATATGTCATTGGTCTTGAAAAATTCTATCATGCAATCTCTGGTTTTGTTACTGTCACCAGTGCTGTATTTTCCAACTACTGATCCTTTTTGCTTGTTTCCAACTTCCTCATTTCAATCACCAGTAAATATCAATGCATCCTGATTGCATGCATGATCAAATTCAGACTACAGAAGTTGATTGAAGTCTTCAATTTCTTCAACTTTGGCATTAGTAGTTGTTGCATAATTTGATAATAATTGTATTAGCTGGTTTTCCTTGTAGGGATAGGGATATTATCCTATCACTGACAGCACTGTAGTTTAGCATAGATCTTGAAATGTTCTTTTTGACAACGAATGTGATGCCATTCCTCTTCAATTTGTTGTTCCTGGCATGGTAGGCCATAATATTGCCCTATTCAAAATGGCTATACCAGTCCATTTCAGCTTGCTAATAACCAGGATAGTGATCTTCAAGTGTTGCATTTCATTTCTGAAAACTTCTGATTTTCCTTGATTCACACTTGACACATTCCACATTCCAATTACTAATGGGTATTTGCAGCTATTTCTTCCATGACTTGTGTGTCAGTTTGTTGTACTGTGGTGACTTGCATGTTGCTATGGTGCTGGAAGCTATGCTACTGATACTTCAAATATCAGCAAGGTCACCCATGGTAGACAGATTTCAGCAAAGCTTCCAGACTAAGACAGACTAGGAAGAAGGACCTGGCAATCTACTTCTGAAAAAAATCTGCCAGTGAAAACATTATGGATAGCCTTGGAACATTGCCTATTACAGTGCCAGAAGATGAGGCGCTCAGGTTGGAAAGCACTAAAATACAACTAGGGAAGAGCTGTCTCTTCAAAGTAGAATCAACCATAATGTGGATGCAATAAAGCTTTTGGGACCTTCATTTGTTGATGTGGCACAAGTTAAAATGAGAAGCAACAATGGAGAAGACAACATGCAGAAATTCTCGAGATTTTGCTTATGCTTACCATTAGATTTAAGATAAAAAACCTAAGGTATTTTACCATCTTAAGATGTAGAAAAAGTGATTTTACAAGAAATCCTCTCACTAAGGCTCACTTGAAAAATTAGCTTCTTTGAAAATTAGACTGATATTTCCGCCAATTGACAGACAGGACCTACTTGAAGAAAGAATAGATAAAAATCTGGATGCAACTTGGAAAACATTAAAGAAGAAAACAATAAAATTAAAAATCTAATCCAAGTTAAAAATAAACCAGAGAAAAGAAATGGAAAGTTTCACTTACTGAATAAAAAATTTAAAAAAAAATTGACTTAAAAAATGAGAGCATATTATTTAATGTATTTTTAACTTCACGTTTCTTAACCAGAATTTCTATGATTGCTTTTCAATCATTCATGAGCTCATATTTGCATGTGATCAATAAACAAATAAGGTCCTACTTAATAATTTTCAGGAAGTCTGTTTTTATTCAAAATAAAGAATACAAAAATTTGTGGAGCCTATGTTTATGTTACCTGAATTTCTAAAAATTCTTAAATTCACCATATATGTTTTAAAAGATGTACTGAAGAAGGGAGTTTATATATGCAGCAAGTCAAAATAATGCTTTTCTGGATACCATGTCCTATGTGTAGCAGTGGGGTCCCTGGTTCATCTAAATAGTTAATTCACTCAGTTGCTAACTGACAGGCTGGAGACTTGAGTTCACCCAGAGGTGCCTTAGAAGAAAGGCCTGGTGATCTACTTCCAGAAGATCACCACCATTGAAAATCCTACGGAGGGCCATTCTGAAACACATGGAGTCTCCATGGGTTGGAATCAGCTTGACAGCAACTGGTTTCATGTGCTTCAGTGCCCATTCTCCACCATTATGTTTCCAGTTAAAACTAGTCAACAGCCCTGCAGAGATGTTTGTCTTGACAGTATTCAAGTTCCTTCACTTCGATTCCTCCCAGTGAAGATGAGTTCTTTCATTATCTCTGTTTCTCTTCATCTCTCTCTGTGTTTGCCTGCCTGTCTTGTCTGTCTGTCTCTCTCTCACATATATAAGTGTGTGCACACATAATCTACTTAGAGAGATCGACTTGATTCTTTGGAATAATTTGAATAATTAATTCCCCTGGGCCCTCTTCTCTCCTCCTCCACAGGGCCCCCATCTAGCCAGTCAAAACAGTGAAACCAATTTTTGTATTACAATTATTTAGTTTGTCATACAGCTAAATATGTACAAAACTCCAAAAAATCAAATTCACTGCTGTCGAGCTGAATCCGACTCATAGTGACCCCTCCTTGGGTTTCCGAGGGGGTATTGCTATGAAAGTAGATAGCCCAATCTCCCTTCTGAGGAGTGGCTGGTGGGTCTGAACAACCAGCCTTCTGGTTAGCAGTCAAATGCCTTAGGCACTACTCCACCTGAGGTCCCAGTTAAACGCCTAAGTAAATTGAATTGATTTCCTGAACCAGAGATGTTACCTTTAGCAAGAATAGCATAAAAGTGATAATCATTTAAGTATTTCTCATGCTCTTTACATGACATATGACTAAGCTAATGAACCAGATGTCCTAAAACTCGTAACAAGATTTTCATGGATCAATAACTCTTTTTAATGGTTCATTTATTGCTCAAATAGTGAATTACAAAACCTCTTTAGAGCAAGAAGGAAGAACATTTTGCACAAGTCATATAATAAGAGTCAGCCATAACGTATTCAGCCTTCTTTTTGTTTCTTACCTTTATAGAGCATTGTCCGGAAGTCTTTGCCTTCCCAGTAGCTTATGTTCACTCTTGTGAAAACATTATATTTTTCAGGGTAATGAATCTCAAACAGCACTCCTGTTTCAGGAGAAGGTTTGTAATCATATATTGAAACACTGGTTACAGGTAGAGGTTCTAAAGAAGGGAAGTGTATGGAGAAAGGGGAAGGAGAAGGCAAAGGCAATAATTAATGCTTCGGAGTACCAAGGGTTACATTGATTAGAATGTCACATTTTTTTTTTTTCTCTGTGAGCACTAAACTCCTCAGTGCTCATGGATTGAGAGTGTCTGCTCTAGCAGTAATTGAAGAAGCACATTTTATATGGTGTTTTCTGTCTTTCAGAGAACTTTCTCTCTTTTTTTCTTTCTTCCCTTTTTTTCCAGTTGCCTTTGGCAATTATCTTGAGATCCAGGAAGAAAAAAAAAATCTTAATAGCTTCATTCAACAGATAAAATACTGATAAATCAGAATCTTTAAATTACTTGTCAAAAGTAATTTATAAAGTACGTGGCAGAGTCCATATCACCAGATTCCTAAGCTCATTTTTCTTTTCTCCATGCCAAGAAAATTTGATATTCTTAAGAGAACAGTAATAGAAAATAAATTTTGACTGTAACAAAGGATAAATATTATTCTAGTCGTTTATTTCTTTATAAGTTTAGCATTTATTATTCTGTGTTAAATACAAGATTGCAAACCATCTCATATTGCGTAAATTATAGTTTATGGTGGTTTACTTAACACTTTATATGCAGGAATTAAAAAAAAAATCTTTTTTACTTGTTAATTCATCACAATATTTTTAAATATTCATTTTTTTTTTTTTTTACTGTAACTGATAGATGCTTACATCTTCTCCATGTCCCACTCTCTAGCAAACTTTTGTAAAGACATAGCTCCCCCCTCTTTCTGAAGGAGTTATTGGAAAAATTTCATTTACAGTAGTTTTGTTCCAGAAAATCTTTTAAATAAATTGGTTTCCAGTCAACTATTTTATTATGGAAAAAATAATTTTGATTCAAAGTTTTGGATATCATCTATAGGCTAAACTAAAGTAAAAGTTTTTGGTAAAATTTTACACTTTTAAAATTTAAGTGTCAATAACAAAAAAAAAATTAACTTTTAACAAAAGTCAAATTTTATATTTGTTCATTTAACAAATACTTATTGAGTACCTGCCTTATCTCAATCCATAGCCAAATATATTTCATTTTTATCCTTAAGGGCCTTATCTATTCTTTAAATTTTTTTTTTAATTGTGATTTGGGTGCAAATTTACAAAGCAGATTCATTTTACTCTCGACAGTTCATGCACATTTAGTTTCATGGCCCTGATTACAATCTCACCAACAAAAAGCCCTTCCATCATCTCCTCCCTGTGACCAACCCCTCCTTGTGCCCTTATGTATGCATTCTTGTCTGCCCAGCTTTCCCTCTATGAAAATACCTTCTGGTGTCTCAAGGTTGATTGATCTAAGAGGTGCATCTCCCTAGGGTAGGTGAGTGCATCTCCATGGGATAAGTGTTCTGTGTGTAGGCCTTTCTACTGTTTGGCTGAGAGCTAATCCATGGGAGTAAGTCCAGTTCCAGGCCAGAAGAAGAACCCTGCTCCATAGTCTCAGGGGTTCCGCCAGTCTCTGTTTGATCAGTAATTCTGGTCATTTTTGTGTTTTTGAATTTTGTTCCACATTTTTTCTCTCACTTTATCCAGGATCTCCAATTTTGATCCCTTTCTGAGGGGTTGGTGTTGGTAGCTGGCCACCATCTAGTTCTGATCTCAAGGTCATGAATTCGTCTTTCTTATTCTTTCTTTTATTTTTGGTGAAAATATACACAGCCATACAACATTTCAACTATGTCTACATGAACAACTCAGTGACATTGATAACATTCTTCAAGTTGAACAAACATTCTCACCCTACTTTTCTGAATTTTCCCTCCCCCATTAACATAAACTCACTGCCCTGTAAATGTCCTATCTAAACTTTTGAGTTGCTGTTGTCGATTTAATCTCATATAGATAGTTCTTTAAAAGAGCAAAATTCTCAGGGCAAATATTTTTCACTAATTTTTGGCTTAAAGTTTAAAAATTATCTCAGAGCAATAGTTTTGGGCTTCATCCAGCCTCCAAAGTTTGAATTCCATGAAAATTTGAAATTCTGTTCTGCAGTTTTTTTTGTTTTGTTTTGTTTTCCCATTTTGACCAGGATTCTTCTCTCAAATCTTTGATCAAAACTTTCAGTAATGGTAGCTGAGCACCATGTAGCTCCTCTGGACCTGTGGTAAAGGAGGCATTTATTTATGGAGGTAACCAGACTTTCAACTGGCTGCCTCTTCCAATTTCTGACTTTCCTTCTTACTCTGTTACTCCAGGTGAATACAAAACCAAACCAAACTCACTGCTGCTGAGTCAGATCTGACTCATAGTGACCCCTCCTTGGGTTTCCGAGGTGGTATCTCTATAGAAGTAGATAGCCCAATCTTCCTTCCACAGAGTGGCTGGTGGGTTTGAACCTCCAGCCTTCTGGTTGGCAGTCAAAATGCCTTAGGTACTATGCTACGGGAGCTCCCTCCTGGTGAATAGAGAGCTATTTTTGTACCTTGGATGGCCACTTGCTAGTTTTTAAGGGCCTTACCTATTTGATTGTACACATCCAGAAATGTTTGAAGCTACACGTTAAACTTTGATTTTTCCTGGAATTTTCTCAAAAACCAGGCCAATACCTATGAAATAAGACCTTCAGATTGCAGCATGTGTTGTGATCATGTCTCTGTGGATTATGTGCTCTATTCTCTGGTTGAAAGTTTATATTTTGTCTTTGTTTCATCTCTGGTCTTTCTACTTAAAAGTAACACTTACAGAGTGAACTTACTCCTGTTTCAGGTAAACAAATAAAACCCTGAAGGTTTGAGTATTTCTATTAATCCCAAAGAAGTTTTGAACTGTTTGAATTTCTTTCTTTCAATGCAGCCTAATTTCTAACTCATGGCGTCTATCCAGATCACCTGTTGACCTTGGATCTAAGACAATGAAAATGAAAGCTAATAGCAAAAGGCCGCCACAGAGCAGTACATCTTCCACTGTTGCATTCTTGTTTCATATCCTCACCAGGGTTTTGTCTTCCGAAAAGAGAAGTTAGAGGTCTATGCAACCTTTCATACCCTAAAGCATGAAGTCTGTGCATCAAAGCCATGGTCAAAATTTGAAATTCAAGAGATTCATGAGGATTAAAAACCAAATCAAACCCACTGCCATCAAGTCGATTCTGACTTGGAGTGACCCCCATTAGGTTTCCAAGGCTGTACATTTTTATGGAAGTAGATTGCCTTATTTTCCTCCAGTGAAGCAGCTAGTGAGTTTAAACCACACACCTTCTGGTCAGGAGCCAAATGCCTCACTCACTATGCCACCAGAGCCCCTTAACATGAGGATTAGAGAACAGATCATTTATTTTGATTTATTTATTTATTTTTTTGCTGCTACTACAAGTTACTCAAACTAAGAGAATTATTAAAATGTGTACTTACAGTTTATTTTATATGTTTCCTTTCACCTCAGTGTAAATGATCCAGATCAGCTGTAAATTCTAAAGTTTATGCCAAGGAATTATGACAATATATTCAATTCCAGAAATACTCTTTTCAGTAGAACTCAAATGTATACTCTAAAAATATTTTATTATCTCTCCATTTTACTTCCCTCATGAATTTTCTTTTTAGAAATTAAGTGATAAGGCATAAACCAGAGCAGTACTGTTGAGTGATGGTAAGGTTAAATCCTGATCTAATTCATTATTTCTTTCCCTGTAATCTGCCCATGTACTTCCCTTTCTTGTCTTAGGAACAAAGCTGAATGGACAGAGAAATGGAATTACTAGAAAATGTAAATAATTTATTATGTTTATTTATTACTCTTTTGGCCTCAAGTGTTTTTTATTTTCCAAAGAAATGAAGCATTACAAAATATAGTTGAAACACCCCATGTAATTTACCCGGTTTCCATTATCCTCTCACTATGGCCTCAGCTACATCATTATCCTAAATGTGATGTATATCTTCCAATGCATGATTTTTTACTTGTATGTTTGTGGGCATCCAATGTGTATATGGAGTAATATTTCTCATAGTTAAAAATATTATACTAATGGTAAAATATACATATTGTTCTGCAGTTTAGTTTTATCACTTAACATTGCTTTGGAGATTTTCCCATCCATATACACATATATATATTTTTTCATTTTCCGTTTTATAATTACATATACTGTGCAGTTTGTTATTCTGTTGGTTGATAGGTTGCTTTCAATCATTCACTCTTACAAATAATGCTGTAATAAATGTTTTGAGATTTTTTTTCCCTTAGGTTGCAATTGCTGGATTGTGGAGTTTACACATCTTTCAGCAGCATATGACGCTTCTTTTTTCTTCAAGTTCTGCAATATTTGCTTTTATCAGTCTTATCTGCCACTCTGAGAGGTGTGAATTATATCTCTTTGTTTTCATTTCTGATTCATGAAGGAGGTTGATTATTTTTGGCTACTCAGCTTCCCTCTCCTCAGAATTAGTTGTTTGGTTCTTTTGTCTATTTCATAGATTGTTTTTCCATCTTCTTCAACTAATTTGTAATGTACCCTTTGCCACATACCACATTCCCATGATCTTTCTTTCTTTATTTTTATTTTTCAGATTGCATCTTGTGCCTTCTCTCTGGATTCATTCTTCTTGCTGAAACATATCTATGAACAATTCTTCAAGTTAGAGTTATGGAGTTAATCTTCTCAAATTTTGTATATTAGAAAATGCCTTTATTTTATCTTTTCTTGATGTAGTTTAGCGGAGTATAAAATTCTAGGTAGACAGAGTTTACGTCAATATTTTAAAGATACTGTCCCATTGTCTGTTTGCACCAATTATTGCAGAAGAGAATCCTACTGTCAATCTCATTGTTATTCCTTAGTAGATACTATGCTTTTCCTCATGATATATTTAAAGCTTTTTACATACCCTTTGTAATCTGCAGTTTCACCATAATATATCTATGTGTAGTCTTTTCTTTCTTTCTTCTTTTTTTTTTTTAAAAAAAACTGTGACTTGGGTAAAAGTTTACAGAGCAAAATCACTTTCCATACAGCAA